GAAAATCGAGGTCTTCTCAGCTACTAGACTTCTCACATCATCCATGCTCATGCTCTACTCTATTAGAAAAACACCAAAGCCTATTTAACCCTGTGAGAATGCACATTTTTGGTGAATATGCCTCCATATGCATACAAAAATGTGAGTTTTACCTACGTAAACATACGATTTTACAACTTTTGTTCTTAAATACATGCTGTTTTTGCAAATAAGTGGGATAAAAATAGTTGATAGAAAATGTAGCAATTGTTCAGCGTGGATTGCGTACATTTTGAAGGCCAGATATCATTTTCCTCATAAATGTTATTAATAATACTCACAGTTATGAAACTATCTCCCAGTATATACTCATAAGTGTAAGGATTTCTCCTATGTGTAAACTGTGTCTTTGTGAATACAAGATCTATGCATGCAGTAACACACACACATATATGATATCTCCAAAAACAGCTGCACTCCCCAGGTCTTAACAAGTGAACAAATTTTATTGTAAACACATGTTACACTGTAAACCACTCCCCCCACGTAAAGAAGCTGCTTACGCTTTTCACCAATTCGGCGTAATCATAGATCTAGCTATGATGAAACCGAATTGATGAAACGCGGAAAGGGGTTTCTTTACGTGGGGGAGTGATTTCCAGTATAACATGTGTTTTTACAATACAATTAGTTCACTTGTCAAGACCCATGGTGTGCAGCTGTTTTTGGAGATATCATTGCTCGAGGACTCACCCATTTGCCTGCACCTGGGACAAGATTGTTATGTGAGCTGGTCTGGGATTATGGAGCAGTGGACTGGTTCTGAACACACACATATATGACGCACTTTATTCGCTCATTTTACTTTACACTTTCAATAATGGGTATAGTTTAAATGCATATTGATGTAAATGTTTTTGTATGTATTTGGGAGGGGCTTTTAAGTATTGATAAACAATGAGACACACTAAACCGCAAATCACATGGTCTAATATGAAACAATTCACTTCAATGTAATCTGTATTGCAGCAGAAAAAAAATTGAGTAGACACATTTTTGTGGCAGTGCAATAAAATTGTTACACCAGTTTTTAGTTCCATGGAACCTTATGACTCCTCCAGAGGTTGCTAGGTGTTCCTTGAGCTGAAAGCAGTGGAAGATTCATCTCTCACCAATGGTAGTCACTCATGTATTCTATGTACCACTCCCAGGTCCTGTGCCTCTCTCTCTAGATGTAAGTCATGGTATATCTGCAGGCTCTATCACCTACCCGTATAGCTTATGTATAAAGAAAAAGACGCCACAAATTGGTCTACTCTTCCTACTTGAAAATGTTAATAGCCCAACAGAGACACTCCACCCATGACTTCCCTCTGATGTGTTTTGCCCCCTGCTTGTGCTTAATTAGAGAGACATTATGCTCTATGAGTAAGCCACTGTAGTGGGTGAAGTGCATAAGAGGGGATATGTGGTAGAGTGTTTCTGAGCTGATAGATCAATAAAGTTTTTAGTTCAAAAGGAAAAAAAAACAGTGTGTGTGGTTTCATGTTTTAATGCATAGCCCATCTGATGGTGCCTGCATAGTTCAGAAACCAAGGTCACTTAGCAGAACCAGTGACAAGGGGCCAGCAGAGCCCCTCTTCTAGTTCTCAGGTAGGTTACTGCTGGTACCAATTATCTTTTTATCTGTCTGTAAAGGAGGAATTCTTCTACTGACAACCAAAGTAAGAAGCATTCTGCCCCCCTGACCACTAATGTAACAGGGCATTCTTTCTACTGGCCTTTTACAATACACCCCCAATTTAAAGGAGAGCCTTTTCCAATGACCACCAATATAAGGGGACTCTTCTCCACTAACCACAAAAGTAATGGAAACCATCTCCACTGACCCCCTGTATAAGGGGAGCTTTCTCAATTGACAACAGATATAAAGGGGCACCTCTCTGCTGACTACCAAAGTAATGGGGAACTTCACTACTGACTACCAATGTGAGGAGGTACAGCACCACCAATGTCAAATGTAAAGGAGCATTCCTCCGTTGACTATCAATATAAGGTGCCACTGCTCCAGTGATCACCAATGTAAGGAGACATTTCTCCCCTGACCACCATTTTATGGGCATTTCCCCAATGCCCACCATTGTAAAAAAGCAGTACCCTAAATGCCAGTGTAAAGGGCATTTCTCCACTGACAACCAATGTAGGCAGGCTCTACTGTACACTGGCTGACCAACAAGGTAAGGGGCATTTCTCCAATAACCATCAATGTAAAGGAGTATTTCTTTACTTACCACCAATATAAGGGAACCATTTCTACTAACAAACAATGTGAAGGGGATACTACACTGACTACACAAGTAAATAGTACACAAGTGGATACAAACTTTTTTTTGTATAGCACAAGGAAGGCATTCTGACCCTTGACTACCGATATGGGGGGGCGGGGGTGGGCTTCTCCACTGACCACAAATATAAGGCAGAGCCATCTCCACTGTCCACCAAAAAAAGGGAAGCCTCCTTCACTGACCACCAGTATTAACTGTACATACAATTTATGCAACACACTGTAGGCAATCAGCTGTATGTGAATGTCACAGGCACTGGTGGAACTACCTGGTTCGCAGCGGTCACATTTGCGACCGGGCCCTGGTGGGGGGGACTGCCACTTGGGGGGGCCCTGAAAGGCAGAAGAGGGCCCCGCACCGACATTTCAGAAAAAGATTGGCGTGACCTGCTGACGGGGAAACCGGTCCTCTTGACTGAGCAGCCAGTGACATTTTGCCGTGAGGTGAGAGAGAGGTGTGGGCGTGGCCTGTCTGTGTTGTAGTGGTGTGGAGTGTGGGAGAGCTGCGTGAAGCACTGGGCGGGGTTTCTGATGTTGTGGGTGTGCCCTAGGCTGCAATGTCGGGAAATTTGAATGATGAGAGCAGCCGTGTCTGCTGGCCAAGGTTGGATGGTGATGGTAGAATTGCGGGCCCGGAGCAGGAAGGATTCTTTCCCAGTGATCACATCACTCTGTGGACATCAGACATCCTCAGGTCAGTGGCTGCACTGCTGGAGGATCTTCATTTTACAGTAAGTGCATACAGAATGTGGGGGGAATTAATCAAAACTGGATCTGACTGAATCTGGAGCAGTTGCCCATGACAACCAATCAGCTCCTATCTTCAGTTTGTTCAGTTAAGCTTTGAAAATGAAAGAGAGAAGCTGATTGGTTACTATGGACAACCGCTCCAGATTCTGCCTGTTCCCGTTTTGATCAATGCCCTGTGTAATTTTTTCTTGGAGACAACTGGGTCACTCTATTGTATTTCATACGTCTTATATGTGATTTTCATACACATCACTGGCAGAATTACCAGGGATGCAGAGGTCACATGATTGACTGGGCCCTGTCGTTGTGCCGCTTGTAGGAAGGGAGGGCGGAAAGAAAGAAGATGGCCCATCCCCAGTAATCGCCGAGGCGCGCAACATTGCCTCGCCAGGGGGCCCTTCATGGTTTCTTGCCCCGGGGCCCTGAGCTTCCTAGTTACGCCTCTGGTCACAGGTAAAGAGTTGTGGATCTCATTAATTGATAATGAGTTGTAGGTACAGTGCATAGGTAATGAGTTGTAGGTGCAGTTCATAGGTAATGAGTTGTAAGTGCAATTCATAGGTTGTAGGTGCAATTAAGTGTTGAGTTGCACAAGCAATTCATAGGTAATGAGTTGTAGGTTCAGTGCATAGGTAATGAGTTGTAGGTGCAGTGAATAGGTAATGAGTTTTAGATACAATATATAGGTGATGAGTTGCAGAAGCAATCCATAGGTGATGAGTGGCAGATACAATGTATTGGTGCTGAGCTGCAGATGCAATTCATATGTGACGAGTTGCAGGTGCAATTCATAGGTGACGAGTTGCAGATGCAATTCATAGGTGACGAGTTGCAGGTGCAATTCATAGGTGACGAGTTGCAGATGCAATTCATAGGTGACGAGTTGCAGGTGCAATTCATAGGTGACGAGTTGCAGGTGCAATTCATAGGGGAAGAGTTGCAGGTGCAATTCATAGGTGACGAGTTGCAGGTCCAATTCATAGGTGACGAGTTGCAGGTGCAATTCATAGGTGATGAGCTGCAGATATAATTCATAGGTGACGAGTTGCAGGTGCAATTCATAGGTGACGAGTTGCAGGTGCAATTCATAGGTGACGAGTTGCAGGTGCAATTCATAGGTGACGAGCTGCAGATACAATTCATAGGTGACGGGCTGCAGATACAATTCATAGGTGACGAGTTGCAGGTGCAATTCATAGGTGACGAGTTGCAGGTGCAATTAATAGGTGACGAGTTGCAGGTGCAATTCATAGGTGAAGAGTTGCAGATGCAAGTCACAGGTGACGAGCTGCAGATACAATTCATAGGTGACGAGTTGCAGGTGCAATTCATAGGTGACGAGTTGCAGGTGCAATTCATAGGTGACAAGTTGCAGGTGCAATTCATAGGTGACGAGTTGCAGATACAAGTCACAGGTGATGAGTTGCAGATACAAGTCACAGGTGATGAGTTGCAGATGCAATTCCCAGGCAGAGCACAGATATGAATAGGTCCTCCTCATGACTTTACATAACACAAACCGTATCAGCCGAACAGACTCGGGACAGACATGAGCCAGGTGAACCTAATTGGCTGGAACGCCGAGTTTATTTCGGTCTCAGGTCCTGAATGGAACGTGTGAGGACGCGCCCGTTCCGCTCCCGTGCACACGGCGCTGTCCGCTCCGGAGGTGCTGAAAGCTCTCAGGAGCCTATTGCCATATGAATGCGAAGCATCGAAGCGGCATGCCAGCCCGTCTCCCGGCTGACCCCCCGGACAACTTTCCAGCCCCCAAGGGAGGAATCAGCGGAGACAATAGGGCCGGTGATGTCTCTGTGAGCCAGCACAGGAGGAGGCATATTTTCTCAGGTAGTCACGACTTTATAGCTCAGCAGCGGCGGCAGCATCCTCTCCGTACATCAGGACCGAGCCCATACACCTAGCACCCATGTTACCGACTCTGTTCTACTCCGATGTCCCGTCTCAATCGGAAGATCAAGGGAGCCTCAGGATGCCTCCGCGTTCCAGCAGCGGTACCGTCAACCTAGCGACACCCTATAATGCCTTTGAAGACGGGGATTCGGACTCTGCCCTCTCTTTGGACTCCAGCGTTTTCTGCAGCGACTATTCGGCAGCCCCCAGAGACCATCTCACCATTAACGTCGGGGGGAGCCGGTTTGTCCTATCCCAGCAGACCCTCTCCTGCCACCCGCAGACACGCCTGGGCAAGCTAGCCACTTCCCGGCTTGATGAGGTCCTTGAGCTGTGTGATGACGCTAACTTGCTGGACAATGAGTATTTCTTTGACCGCAGCTCCCAGATATTTGAGTACATCATGAACTACTACAAGACCGGGCGCCTCCATGTGATGGAGCAGTTGTGTGCGGTCTCCTTCCTCCAGGAGATCGAGTATTGGGGCATCAATGAGCTGAGCATTGACCATTGCTGCAGGGACAGGTACTACAGGAAGAAACTGAAGAGCGAGAGCATGGACATCAAGAAAGATGAAGAGGAGCTGGAGGATGAAGATGACGACTTCACAGGAGTTGCCTTTGAGGAGCTGAGGCAGAAGCTCTGGGACGTCCTGGAGAAGCCTGGCTCTTCTGTGGCTGCCAAGACCTTTGGCACGGTCTCCATGACTTTTGTCGTCGTCTCCATAGCTAACATGGTCCTGATCTCCTCCGAGGTCAACGCTATAGACCACCCACTGTTGAATGTATTGGAATATATCTGTGTCTCTTGGTTTACAGCAGAGCTAGTCCTTAGGTTCCTCTGTGTGAGGGACAAGTGCCGGTTCATGATGAGTGTAATCAACATCATAGACTTCATTGCTATCTTGCCATTTTATATCACTCTCTTGGTGGAGATCTGCTTAGGGGAGAGTACCGACCTTGAAAACGTTGGGAGAATAGTGCAAGTCTTGAGGCTGTTGAGATCCTTGAGGATGTTAAAGCTCGGCAGACATTCAACAGGTAATGAATTCTTACTCACACCAGCATTAAGTTTTCATTGTGCAAGTAATACTGTCAAGTCAGGTTCAAGTTTACACCACTTGCTTAGAAAGCAATCCCCATTATTACTGCTACTGAGCAGAGCAGAGCTACCATTACCTAAGATGAGTTTAGGCTAAGGCAAGGGGGGGGGAGGGGTTCTGGTGTGTTAACCACTTGCTGACCGGGGTCGTTTATACCCCCTTCCTGGCCAGGCCATTTTTCAGTATTCATCGCTGCGATACTTTGGCTGACATTTATTTCGTCATGCAACGCTGGACTGTGTGTAAATAATATTATTTTTGTGACCAATTTTCTTTCTTTTACTTTTTTTTTACACTTAACTTTATTGTTATCACATAGGGGGATAATAATCTCCCTAAGTGATATCACATTAGAGTGACAGGTCCCCTTTATGGAGACTTCAGGGGTCTCTAAGACCCCCAGAGAAGCTGATGAAGCACAGATCTGCTTCACCAGCTTATCTCCAGTTTCTGTACCGGAAAGTGACAGAGGAATGTGGAATTGATGTAGTAAACATCACATCCTGCATTCAGAGACCGGGGAGGAGAGTGGAGGGAGATTGTGTACTGATCTCCCTCCATTCACTGTGCATGGAGCCACATGGACCCACACTGGCAGTCCCGGATCAGAAACCCAGGATCACGGGGAGGGCAGCGGCGGGACAGCGGGGAGAGGTAAGGAGGGGGGCGCACAGAGACATGCAGCATACAAGCGATCGGGCATGTTTACAGGCGCCAAACTGCTTGTATGTAGACAGCCATTGCTGGCTGTTTCCAATTCTGGTGGTTCCCTGCATGTACGCGTGAGCGGGCGCGGGCACCATTATGTCCATATACCGGATATCCCAAAACAAACGGGTGCTTGAAATAACCATGAAAGGTGCCGCTCAGAATACAGATATAAACATAGATGTCATCAGCACACCAGCACAAAAATTCCACATCAGTGCAAATTAATTTTATTGATAGTTGTCACCATGACAAGTGCTTTTCGGAGCTTGATGAAGGGGACCCTATGCGGCCCCGAAAGTGCTTGTCGTGATGATAACTATTAATAAAATGAATTTGCAATGATGTGGAATTTTCGTGCTGTTGTGCTGATGATATCCAGGTCTTTTGACATTGTCACCTAGCTAACATGGTTGTGATCTCCACCAAGTTCAGCAGCATAGACCCCCCCCCCCCAACACACACAGTATTACCTTGGTGCATATGGGCCTCACAGGCCATTTTGCCTCTGCATTGCTTGAGTAATTTGGTTTTACATAGTTCCGAAAGCTGCTCCCTAAGTATATACAGCTTCTAATTTAATTGGATATGAGCTGTTCTATGTTACAAACTGGAAAAGAAATGCACATGTAAGAGTATCCATTGCAGGTTGCTTCTTGCACATAACACTGAGACACATCTGATAATGGAGTGTAGGTCAAGATGTGGGGATCCCATTAGGCGATAAGGAGGGCTTGACACAAAAGAGAAGGAGGGCAGCCCTTTCCAGCCTTTCCGTTAAGATCCTATACAAGATATTACTGCTCATGACAATTTTACCTTCTTCGGTCGTGTAGAGATATGTCTAGGCACACTATCATCATTGATGGACATGTTGCCATCAACACAACCTGTGCCAGCTACCTAAAATAGATAATTTCTTCCCCTAAAAAAGTCCAAAAGTAGATTTGGACAGAGACTGATGTGACTGTGGGGGAGGGGACATTAGAGGGTAGGCTCCTATGCACAGAGACTGATGGGACCGGGGCTGCAACAACTAATCGACTAAATTGATTAAAATCGATGATGGAAAATGTTGTCAACGTTTTCCATCATCGATTAGTCGGCTTTCGATGAGTTGCCCCTGTTTGCGGCTCCACACACATTGCACGCTTCACGCCGCACCTCCTCCCCGCCTCTCCTAGCTCTGAGCTCTCTCCCGCCGCTGCCCGCCAAGATGATCACGTCGTTGCAGGGAGACTGCAGTGTGGGGGGATCGGCAGCTGACAGTCCCAAGATCTCGGGGGAAGAAAGGAAAGTTGCATGAAGATGGGGAGATTAGAGTGTAAGCTACTCTGTACAGCACTGCAGTATATATATATATATATATGTCAAAGCTATATACATGTATAATAATAACAGTGTGACTGGCTCAGCGTGGCGGCAGTGCGGGGGGGACCGGGTGGTGCGGGGGTTACCAGGGGTGGCCCGGCCTAAAGCCATGTAAGGGGCCCCGAAATTTCTGAAGGCTGCCCTGGGTGGCGGGAGCCAGAATGTGATGTCACTCTGGTCCAGGCACCTCTACAGGGCACGTGAGGGAGCTGTAAGCAATCCACGTGTGGATGGTGCTCCCTTAGGGCCATAGCTCCAGCCCTCCCCACCTCAAGCTGACACTCAGCGCCGGGCAGAATATTTTGAATGCTGCTTGGTGCGAGAACTGACAGTGCTGCACTAGGGGGAGGCTGAGAAGACCCTTACTTGGAAAAGTGGAAGGCACGCAGCAACCCACTGAACATGGAGTCGCGACCCACTTCTGGGTCACGACCCACCACTTGAGAACCAAGGCTCTACTGTACTTTCCCTAAGGGGTAGTCATCAAACATCACCCTCTCCTTGCCTTATGGTAGGAACGAAACAAATGTATCTACTACCAACCTAATTGGAATGACATTCTGTGTGTAAGGCAAAGGTCACTTTACATCACAAGTATGCATATAATAACATTTTAAATAATGATGTAAACTGTTCAAAAGATAACATGTCACTCCCCATTTAAATGTGTTTTCAGAGACAATTGCAGAATTAATAAGATTGTTTTACCATTTTTTCTGTTTGATAGAATTACAATGTTTCCACCAACATTTGTTATACAATAGTCAGTAAACAATGTGGCCACATGTCTCCTCTACATTGATTCCTTCTATATTATAGTAGTGAAGATTGTATGTGAAGTGTATGTGAACCCTATCTTCTCAGTACATTTGTCATCATGCTCTACTGTACACTGTTTTCTTAAGCAAATGCATTTTGTGAAACTGTTACAAAGTTTCTAACGTGTAAAAGCACTTTGTGCTACAGGCTAACAAAGCTAAGCCACTGGCCAGAATTAGCAGCAGCATTGTAAGCCTGCCATGTGAGCACTAGGGATGGGCACTAGGGATTGTTTTTGTATTCTTTTTCTATGTGTAAATTTAAATTTGTTTGGGGGG